GTCCAGTTGCAGCCCTCTTCTCTACTCTCAAAGTCGGACACTATAATCTCTCTCTGAATTCCTAGTTGTGATTGCATGATATGGCTGAGACCGGCCTCATCTTCATCACCTCTCTTATCGAGGAGGCACTTTCCAAAACAACTTCATTTGCTGCTAGACCTGTGTTTTCGCCTGCTTTGCAGGAGTTGTTTGCGAATCTTGCTCAGTTGCTGACTCCAATTCAAGCTGTCGCCGTAGGCGCGGAGGAAATGCAAGAAAGTGATCCAGCCCTGAGGCTTTGGCTGCAGAAGCTCAACGACGCAGTTTATGATGCGGTGGATTTATTGGATGAGTGTGGTTATCATGTTCTTCTTATGGAAGTTGAGACTCCAAGCCTCAAGAGGAAGCGAGATCAGGTGCACACTTCCTTTTCTCCCTCCAATGTTGATTCCTTTAGTATGGAGATGGCTGAAAAATTTAAGATGATTAATGAATCTTTAGCTGAAATTAGAAAGGAGGTAGACTTTATTAATCTGATTATCCAATTTCGAAAGCAAAAACTTGCAACTGCTAGGCCATGTTCTGAGATGGTGTACCTTCTTGATAGTTCAGAAGTTGTTGGAAGGGAAGATGATGTCTCAAAAATTGTCAACTTGTTGAATGAGCAAAGGAGTCAATGTCCGATCTCTGGAATTTCAATAGTTGGGGTGGCAGGTGTTGGAAAGACAACAGTTGCAAGATTAGTTTATATGAAGGCAGAGGAAGAAAAGCTCTATGATGTAGTAGCTTGGGTGTGTGTATCCGAGGATTTTAATGGTCAGAGAATTTTGGGTGAGATGTTAGAATATTTTGAGACTAGTATTGTCAATCCAAATACAATTGACGCACTGCTTCAAGATCTAGCCAAAGAATTGGAAGACAGAACTTTTCTTCTCGTTCTTGATGATGTGCGGGACAAAGATCTCAACAACTGGATTGTTTTCTGCTCTAGTTTGTCTAAAATTGTGAAAACTAGTGGGAACTCTATTGTCCTAACAACTCGCAGTGAACATGCAGCATCTGTCACAGAGAAGCTTCCTATGTGTAGGTATGGTTTGCAAAGGCTGTCAGATGATGAGTGTTGGATGATAATTAAGAAGGTAGTTCTCAGTTCATTTGCAAAAAAATTGATACCTTCAGATCCTATTGGGCTTTCTATTGCAAAACAATGTGGTGGCTTGCCTTTGATTGCAACGGCCATAGGAGGAACATTGAGCAGTCATATTGAGGCAGATGAATGGTTGGCTATAACAAAAAATGAAGAATGGAAGTTAGAATATAGAAATGAAGTTCTATCTGCCTTAAAAAGGAGCTTCTTCAATTGTCTGCCTTCACATTTGAAAAAATGCTTTTCTTATTGTTCAATTTTTCCAAAATGTTCTGAAATTAGAAAGGATGATTTAATTCAACTATGGATGGCTGGAGGATTAATTCATCAACAGTCTAATGAAAGTCAGATGCCAATGCCAATGGAGAGTATTGGACACTTGTACTTTAACGAGTTGTTATCCAATTCCTTATTCCAAGAGGTGAAAAGGGACACATTTGGGAATATTGAATCTTGCAAAATGCATGATCTAGTGCATGACCTTGCTCTGTTTGTTTCAAAAGGTGAAACTTTTATATGGGAGATTGGTTCCAAAATCAATTCTAATTTTCGAAATTTGAGAGTCCAGAATGATGGGGAAGTGCTTCCAGCCATTCCAAGAGGTGTTCATTCTTTGTTTTTGGAGGGAGATGTTTGTATTAGTATGGAGTCAGATCTCAAAAGCTTGCGATCTTTAAAAATAGTGGGAGCTAAAACGGAAGTATTGCCAGCTTCTCTGGAGAACTTGCAACAATTGAAATACCTTGAAATCTCAGGAAGCAAAATAACAGCACTACCAGCATCTTTCTCCAAGCTCTACATGTTGCAGACTTTAAAAGTTATACGATGCAATCATCTTCAAAAGCTTCCTGACGATACAAGCAAACTAGATAGCTTGAGACATCTTTATTTTGATAATGAGAGGCTTATGCCGAAGGGGATTGGACACTTAACTTCCCTTATAACCTTACCACTATTTTTTGTGGGAAAAGAAAAGGGATTCAGGATTGAAGAACTTGGATGCTTAAACCAACTTAGAGGGAAACTGAAGATTGTGAATCTTAATTGTGTAAGATCCAAATCAGAAGCCACTAGAGCGAGGCTAAGTGAAAAGACAGAATTAGATGAGTTGGAATTTGTATGGAGATCACGAAGGAGTTTTGAAGAGAGTCGACGGAGAGAAGAGAGCAGC